ATCGCATTGCAGTAATCATTACACAATACGTCTTTTCGGTCCAAGAACGGACTTAAATGGTATAAATGCCTTGCGGTGAGATTTTTTTTGCAGAATTTTCAATAAGAAGTTATTTCGAGCATCCTTAGAGTGTAAAGTATAAACCGTAGCGATTTAGAGGGTTTCCAAAAGTTAAATCAATTTTCTAGATAAGGAAACGAATGTTCAAAGCTCCACCCAAGTTATTTGACCATAATTCCAAGTTATTCACCGAGTAGAACTATTTTTCCCTACTTTCGCGATGTTTCTAATTCAACGAAATATTTATCAAATAAATACCTTTGGTTAAGAACTTAAGTAGCTTACCACCTTTATGAGTGCTGGGAAAACGGCCGGTTCCTCTTTTTATTCCGTGAAATAATATCCCCTGCAAAAATTTTCGCCTGGATTAGCAAATACTCTGATTCCCCTGGAAACTATTTCGATAAAAAAATAAAAAAATAAATAAAAAATTTTTAAAAATTTTTAAAAAATTATTCAAACAGTCTTGGTAAATCTTTTCACGCGTTTGGCCACAATCCAAACGACCATTTCAACGGTCAGCTGAAACCTTCATAGTTCTTTAATGTCACTGAATAATGGATTTCAATAAAATACCACAAATCTTGTCTTTGGTCATGAGCAGTTTAACTTCACAAGGCTTGAAAACAGATGATTTTTTGTTTGTTTGTTTTTTTGGTTCCAACTTTTGATGGTTTATTTGTTTTTCTTTTTTATAGCGGAAGTAGAATTCAGCTACTTCACCGCCTAGTAAATATAGTTATTTTCGCTTTCCATAGTCTGATGACTGTGTTTGATTAATCATCAGCTAATAATGAACACTTGGAAACTACCGGACAGGGAGGACATCGACATGTAAGCGTCTGATAAAATGATAAAACAAAAATAATTATACACTCAGAATTAAAGGTAGCTTTTGAAGTAAATCTCAGCTCTGAAGGAGAAATGGGAGCTAAATTTGTGAATAATATATATACCTAATATTTTTTTGGTTCAACAATGTTACATACGACAGATACATCTCGGTAGCTTGCAGCAGTATCGAATCAGAAAGAATATATCAATAAGTAATCATTGTATTTCCGATAATGCGCACACAAATCCGCCAGTCAATTTCCCTGAGGTCACAAATTTGATATTTAATGTGTGTAACGTATCTCTGGATCCATCCATTCATTGATTGATCGATTGATTGATTGATTGGTGAACTGTGTGAGTGAGTGACTAGGTGAGCGAGTGGTGATTGATGATGTGACTGCTTGCCCGTCTAACTATCAATGCAGTCAAACTCATTTTTTACGCTGCTCCATAAGAATCTGAATAAGCCATGACATATCGTCACAGGATATCCGCTTTCGCTTTATCAAAGCTGGTTTATAATCAAGTGAAAAGGCATAAAATTTTTTTAAAAAACAGATCAACAAAGGACACCTTTCTAAAAGCAAAGAAATCATCAAAGAGCTTACATAATTTGCTTAATGGTGGATCAGGACACGCTGTTTAAGTAATTTTCAGATTGTAAAGCGATTTAAATGACAATTTCATCTCACTTTCGTATGAGTTAATTGAATGATGTAAACGAATCTGTGGTCGTGTTTTTATGACGCCGGATAAAATTACAGTCGGAGAACACGTGCGCAATCAAAACAATTTGTTGTTAGGATTGGTGACTGACAAAAGATGGTCGCACGTATCAGAAAAAGGTTGAAAGTAAAGAAATTCTAAAACTATTCGCTGTTTGTCAACTCATCCTACGTGCAAAAAGGAGAAACCACCCGTTAGGGGATTTGGTCTTATTGGGACCAGAGCCAAATATCTTTGTTTTCGGCGTCGGTATGAAAACCAGTAGTAACCGCATCGGCCACAAGGCAAGACAAGATTTGAAACTGTTGTTTCGTTGTTTTGTTTCAATCGCGTTGCATAGAAACGAAGTCGTCTTCAAACGCATTGGAATTTTTTTCGATGCTCTTCTAGAAAAAAAGATAAACGAATATAATCAATTCTGGCCCAAGATTTAAAAAAAAGGATATTTCAGTCTTTTCAATCCATTTCTCTCATACAAATACTACTTTTATAAATGATGAATTTTTGTTTGGGAGTGGTCTGTTGATGTTAGATATGAGAATTATTTTCCACCTTTCGCTGAAAAAGTGAGCGTTAAGCGCCTTGAATGGAAGGTCTTTGGTTATCCATTGGCAATGCAAATTAGTAATACCGTTGATCTAAATTTCGTAAAAAACGAGATTTTACGTGGAACTGACATCAGAAGAAACATTAATCCAATTTGCCCCCTCTCAGGGTGAAAATCTGAACATTTCTTTCCCGTGTTTATATTTCTTGAACTAATCCTTGCTACACGTACTTCAATCAGAAAGGCTAGAGTCCATTTTAGTTGACCCTACGGAAATCTTCGAGTGCCATAGTTTGAAGCAATTGATGGTTATCTATATTTTATATCAATTACGAAGTAATTTTAGTTATTTTACGAAACAGTAGACAAGTTTCCATGAAAGAAATGTTTTCCTCTTAAAAGAAAGTTTAATTCAACCCTTAGTCACGTTCTCCAGTTAAATTAACCCCTTCGTGAGAAGTAAAACCGCTACGATGATAATCTCGGTCTCAAAATTATTGATCTTTACATAGATTACATAGATGCTGTAACCGCATTGACCACGAGACAAGACAAGGAGAACTGGTTAAGATCTTCAAAATTTCTAAACGAAACACCTTAGACAGGCCGGTAAAACTTTTTCAGTTAATTTTTTTATTTTTTATTAATTTATTTATTATTTATTATTTTTTTATTTTATTTTTTTTTACGACTTGCACGCTTGAACCCTTTCTGTGCATGACTTTTCAAAGGCTACCTCAACCAGTAGGCGTTTTCATCGGAAGATCAGAAGTTCTCGACGAAAATTCTCGATAGAATTAATCCCATCAGACATGTCTCTAGCGATTAGAGAAGTAATTGACTCGCCCACGATTTTTGAGCATAAAACATCTGCACATGCACTCAGGTAATAAAAAACTCACTGGTAGAAAGAGACCTCGGTTAGTTTTCATGGAACCTTGCCACCACATCTTCGGTAGACTTTGTCAATTTCTCTTCAAATATTACCTTTTGACATCGTGGTGCAGTTTTCACTCAGAGAATTATCATGAGAGGCATTCAACAAGGAATAGGTATGAAACATCAAGCTAGAAACTTATTTAATGGTGCTTAGATCCAATTCTTACCTATCCTAATAAAGGACTAAAATATAAACAAATAAACGAAAGAAGTCGCCTTCAAACATTTCGGAGTTTTTTTCGATGCTGCTCTAGAAAAAAGAAAAGTCAGTTTATGTAGTACAGTCGAACTTTTACGTCCTTGGTAACCTATAACTGTACAATTTGATTTCCAAACTCCTTCGGCTATTGTAATCCTTTAATTGGAAAGATTTCAGTTCTAAATTCGCTACTACCCTGATGGCAAGTCAAAGTCGAGTTAATGACAAAGTAGATAAACAAATATAATCAGTTCTTGTCTAAGATTTAAAAAAAAAAAAAGATATTTCAGTAGTTTTCAAGGCATGCATTTTTGTGTGGGAGTGGTTTGCTGAGGTTTGATGTGGGAATTATTTTCCACCATTTCGCTGAAAAAGCGAGCGTTAAGCGCCTTTAATGGTAGAACTTGGGTTACCATTGGCCATGCAAATTAGTATTACCGTTGATCTAATTTCAAAAAAAATTAGTCTCTACGCAGAATTGACTACAGTAGAAACAATTAGCCCAGTTGCCCCTTCTCAGAGTGAAAATCTCGTTCATCGCGTAACACGCTGCAAACTAAGGCCTTTGTCTATCTTTTTTTTTTTAAATACCACTCCCGACGATATGGACGATATAGACGATAAAGACACTGTAGTTCAGTCACCGTGCTGTGAAAATATCATGTTTCCGAAACAGGAGAAATTGCGCTACTTCAACAACATCTATACAGTAATGTCAATTCAGTTTCAAATTTGAATCCTATCAAAATCAGGAGAAAGCTGGTTTGGCCACACGAAATATTATTTCGAATGTTTGATGATGATGATATCCAGTTTTGTGCGATGATATGGACTTATGTTCGGTTTAAATGTAAGTCTCTCGACGGGGAAGATGTATATTAGGTCAACTTCGTCCTTTGACCCGCAGAAACTGAAACCGGTGAAATGGCTTAGAACAGGCTAGCAGTGGAATAATTTCGGTTTCTCGTTTTTTGGCATTTTCGTTACAGACATAGTCATTATCAACTGAAGTTTTGAAAGTAAAAGTCAGCTGCCAGTAACTACTTAACCAAACATCACGTCTCGTTCTCACATCCCATTAGGGTTGATTCAGTAAGTAGGGATGAATTAAAAGATGCTGCGACTTCGAATTCAGAGCGAATGCTCTCATAGTTAAAAATAACAAAAAAGGTTAGTGATTTGTGAAATAAATCAAACTGCTTTTTAAATGTTTTAATCGATTTAATTCAAGGCGGATTCTTGCCCATTTAGCCTGTTTAGTTCAGCTGAAACTTTGATCATACCGCATCGGAAATTTCCCCAAAAAATCGTTGGGCCATGCTTTTGAAGGATATACATATCAGCTTCTTAAGTCGTAATTCTTGGCGGATGGTATGATGATGCACTTCCTTGAACTTTACACTAGCTTCCATAGATTTGTTTATCATTCAGGGTTCCCAAAGGTATTTCTTAATCAGTATGGGAAGGGAAAATGCATCTCGGAAATTTAAAAATTCGTAGCCAAGCTGGACAGGAAATTTGGAATAAGTCACGGAGGGAAATTTTCAATCTTGAGGCATTTGGTGGCTGACGCTAGAAACGTGCAAAATAGGATCATGACGCATGCTTGCGCATTTGAATTTGATTATACGAGTTTACTAGCTCTGTTATAATGTTACCTAAGACGAGAACTTGTTATATCTTTATGTTGGAGATGGAAATATCCGCCGTCAAAAACTGATCGGTATATCTACCAATCGATCGCATTAATTGATGATTGATGTCACTGTGTTTTGACCATCATCGCAATTAACCTTCAAGCACTTTCATCTGATTTCATTTCCCTGAAGGTACGATACTTTGCATTTATTTGCCTTTATCTACCATCATCTACTCTTACCTACCATAATTTACGTTCACTTACCTTATTCTACCCTCATCTACCGTCATTCACCTTAAACCATCTTTATCTCAATTTTTCTATCATCTTTTGCCTTCGTCTATTATCATCCATGAAATACTTTGAAGAAAGTGCAGTTTTTGACAGTTATCCCTTGAAACGCTAAAAATAACCTTTCGGGTGACCTAAATTTTAAAATTTCTGGTAGAGCATGCTATCTATTCACCCCTCCAAGACCCTTATTTCTTCAGCATATGTTACTCCGACCCCCTTACTAGTCCTGGATCAGCCCTAGGCAGTGAATTCACACCATGTAATAAAGTTTCTTTCCTTCAGGTTCTGCTCTGCTTTTTCTGGCACTTTATGTGACTTATCAAATTCTACCATCAACGCGGGCATTTCTAATAGATTGCCAAGAGAACACTGCCGCATGTTTGGAAGAAATAATGAAGGAACTCACCCAAGTTCGATCTGACATTAAAATTCTCACGGAGAACAAAACACTGGCGAGACGTAAGCACGATTTCTCTCCGTTCATGTGTTTTATTACCTTTATTAACATTTATTCATTTCAATTTTTATCGTTATTTTTCAAGCGAATATCAACTGTTATTACCTTGTATTTTATCAACAGCAAAGAACTGTGTTGAGCTCTACCATTCCGGTCAAAGGATTAGCGGTGTTTACATAATCGATCCAGATGGCTCAGGTGCCTTTAATGTCTATTGTGACCACACTACTTCCGGTGGGGGATGGACAGTCTTCCAGAGGAGAATGGATGGCTCCGTTGATTTTAATCGCACCTGGAATGACTACAAGCATGGCTTCGGTAACTTGGTCGGTGAATTTTGGCTCGGACTGGACAATATAAACCGTCTGACACAAAACAAGACAAAGAACATGCTTCGAGTAGATCTGGGGGTAACTGCGCGCCAAACTGTTCACGCTGAGTATGAATGGTTTGGGATTGGGAACGGGACGGCTAACTACCGGCTGTACATTGGCAATATGACAAGTAAGTAAACCGTCATTTTAAACATTCATCGTTCGATTCTTATGTGTTACTTCACTACCGACGTCTACTGCCCCATTCACACCAAAGCTTAAAAGCTGTTTTTTAAAAACCATTTTAAAAAGGTTTCTTCAGAGAGGCTGCTTAATCTGATGTTCGTCCGCTTCAAATTTAGCAAATTGAAAATACAACTTAGCGACAACTTGAATCCTAAGGAAAACTGATTTTAAATTCAATTCCTTCCCCCAACTTCACGTAACCTGCAAATAATGGTTTTTTCTAGCGTATACCCGCTTGAGTGTGTATTGCTGTTAATTCTGGTCATACCTGGTTGAGTTCACGCTCCTCTGTGGTCAGTTTGCTCTGGGAGTTGCTTGAGATAGAAAAGTCATGAAACTCGGCTTTAGCAAAGTCATAAAATTTTATTATTTATAATTTTTCCCGATATTTTTGTATCTCAATTATAGTAGCTATCGAGTTTGAGGTGTCAAATGTGTCATCTTGATCCTAATATTATGGAATTTTCTTTTCTTTTTTTTTTTTTTTTTTTTTTTTTTTTTTTTTTTAAGCAGATGCAACTGTTTCTTTTGATTCCCTCAAACCTCACAAAGATTTCATGTTTGGTGCCTGGGATAGAGATCCTGCTAATTGTACTCTAAAAAGAGGCGGAGGCTGGTGGTATGGCAGCAGTAGTGATTGTGATGTTTCATCGAATCTCAACGGAATTTATCCGCATTGTCGAAATGAAACCCGGGCCAATATCCACTGGGATCAATTGGATCAAAACAGTCCCGAGGGCAGCGCCCCCACATCAACTGAAATGAAAATTAGACCAGTGGATTCTTTTTAAAACTTTCTGACGATAAAGTGTTCATATAAATAATGACTTTTGCGTCTTCTGAAAGGTCAAATTCGCTTTTATAACAATTGTGATTGGCAAATTAATGATAGAGTGGCCTTTGTATGCACGGTGATGTTGATCCTTTTTTACGTACTATTTTGTGTTGATTTGAAAACGCTATAATTAAAAAATAAAAGATAGTTCGCTTGCTGTCGAAATTAAACTAAAATATCTGTGAATTCAGTTTTCTAATATCTGACAAAGAAATTTATCCGGCCCAATCGATACTGTTTTGAAAAGTTAAGAGGTGATTTGCATGACAAGAAATAAAACGTGCATTTTTTTTTCAACGCCTTTTAATTCTAGATTTTAAAATGCTTAGAATATACAGATAACATACATATTAGAAGAAATGACGAAATCATAGACTTAACCATATATAGTTGATCAAATGCGATTTTAGAAAAGAATATTTTTATCACATCGAAATTAATTCAGAGAGATTTATACCAATGAAACGTTCCAGCTACTAGCTGGAGCTCATACAATTTAATACTTATACTTATTTTTAAAGTTTTTGCGTTTTCTGATGATTTTGAAAGCGTTTTCTTCTTAGAGCTATCAATAAAGCGATTTAAGCTTATATCAAAATATGTAATTTAGGATATGTGAGTTTTAACGTGTGGAGAAATAAAGACTGCTGTGCATTATTTATGCATTTACGTCAATAGCTATGCGATGGTATCGCAATGGTAACCCAATAGGTCGCAAACCTACTATACTCGAGGATTTCCGAGCCTACAATGGTTATCCATTTCCATACTAGCCAGTGAAGCTTCTTACGCACGATTGACAAGCATTTAAGACTGTAAGGTATTGAGGTGTAGGTTGGGAACCTGATTTTATCACAAATTGGTAAACAACTTCACAAGTACTTCATTTCGTATATCTTGATGATACAAAAAAACTAACCAAAACAAAACATAACAAAAGAAAAAACAGATGTGTCCCAAACTAGGATAGATACGAACTGAAAACGCTATTTGTAATCTCTTACGAATTGTCAGTGAAACCCTCACAGCATCAACACAATATCAAGCAGTCGAGTTTTGAGAATATCGGGAAATATCAATAAGGGAATTATTTATAGCAAGATCCAATACAAAATTCCCCAAAATAACACCATAATGATTGAATGGCAGCCAGTAAGGAGAATTTCTATCGAGATATTGAGAGTAAAACGCCGGTAAAGGGGTTATCACGGCTATCATTGCACTGTTCGGTTCGTTTGTAATGTTAATGTCATGAACGAGTCGTTTGTATGATGCCGTTAGTGGTTTACACCTGTTGGGGGGAGTCTGTTCCAAGTTAGTAAACCAGCTTTCCTGGGTCAGTCCTTGAAAGTAGTTGGTGCTGTAGGTCAGGCATTGCGTGCATTGTCCAGTAAATAGTGTGGTTCATGAGTCGGTGATGTTCAGCAATTTGATTGTTGACATCGCCTTTCCTCGTCGCTCGTTTGTGAGCAATCAGTCTAGTTGTGAAGTCTCTGCCAGTCTCACCGATGTAGGAGGTGTGGCAGTCGGAACAATTGATCTTATACATTGCTCCCTGTCTGTTCTTCGGTTTGTCTTTGTCTTTGACGTTAGTCAGTAACTGACGTAGTGTGGTAATAGGTTTGTGAGCGACGCGGATATTGAATGGTTGTCGGATGCGCGAGATGTATGGTATAGTTGCCGTAGTCGTAAGAGTTACGTTGTTGTTAGGTTCTGTAGTAGAAGTAGTTAGGTTAGTGTTACGTTGGATGAAGTCTTCGTTGTAGTTGTTCTTTGAAAAAATACGGTCAAGGTACTTTTTCTCGTCGGATAAGCTGTCTGTCGTGTTGCATACTACTTACGCTCGTCGCGTAAGAGTCCTAATAGTTGTGGCTTTGTGTGATGTCGGGTTATAGGATGACTCGTCCAGTAATCTAGTAATTTAATGACTCCAGGGATACAGAATAGAGTACAAAGCTGCAAACCATTTTTGATGATCTCAATATGGAAAACATCATTACTAAGCCGTTGAGAACTACAATTGATTCATCTACGCTGATCGATCTCATTGTCACAACCCGCAGGAATTTGGTAAGCTCCACGGGAGTATTACCACTTGGTATTTCTGACCATGATTAAATTTATGCCACTTGACGTCTAAGACACAAAAGGCCACCTCCACGAGTCATCAAAATACGGAATTATAAGAACTTTGACGTAAAGAGTTTCAAATCTGACCTCGTTAACGCGCCATTTCATGCCACCGAATGTTTTGAGGATATGGATGATGTTCTGTGGGCCTGGTAGCCTCTGTTTAATGATATCTGCGATAAACGCGCTCCTTGGAAGGAAGTGAAGATCAAAAGCCAGGTACCACCGTGGATAACGAATGAAATACGCCAAGAAGATGAACAGAAGATTCAAGCTTTTCAAATTACCCGTAGCCTCTAAGTGTCCTAGTAAGTGGTTGGAGTACAAAAGACTGCGGAATGACGTTACTCGATCTATGCATCAAGCAAAAGCATCTTACTTTTCTGACTTGTTCAGTGAGGTTAAGAACACCAACGCCTATTGGAATTTGATAACTAAAGCAACAAATCCAAAAACCAGAAAAAAACACTGGACCTATAAAAGAAGAGGATGAAACTCTGGCTTTAACAGATAAAGAAAAAGCGAACTCGATCAATATATCCTCCAATGCAGAGAGCAAGCTAAATAACTTACTGCCAACATCAACGCACCTGCAACCTATAACTTTGGAGAACAAAGAGGTACCACTATTGTCCCAGGTTGTCTTAAACAGAGAAGCGGTATCTAGGAAGATTAACCCATCGCAAGTGAAAAAGTCTGCTGTACCGGACAATATTCATCTCAAGTTATTAAGAGTGCTTATACCATCACAGTATTGATCTTGAAGCTGTGTTTTCGCAATGGAAAGTAGCAAGGATTACGCCAATACACAAAGTTACGGTCAACGGCGCCGAATCTGGGACCCAGTCAGTTCAAGTTGGAGTCCCACAGGGCTCAGTTTTAGGACATACATTATTTGCTTTATTTTCCAGCAATTTTCCAACCTCTGTGGCTTCGGACATACGTGTTCGCTGACGACACCAAAGTGTACTGTGTTGGTAACAATGGGTATGTAGCGGTTTCAATATTAAACAGAGCGTTAAGAGAGCTGTACGAGTGGTGTCTCATAAACAGGCTCACACCACACCCTAAAAAATACGAGGCTATGTTCATGACTAGGTATAATTATATTGGACCTATTGCGCCTGTTTCTAATGGGGGCTCCTTGATAACATGATTAAAAAATCGCGCTTACTAGGAGTAACAGTCGACAAAAAACTGACATGGTCACCACACTTGTCAGAAGTGAAAAAGACCTTGGCAAGCAAGCTCAACTTGCTGAGGAAATCAAGTTTTTTTTTTCCAAAGAGTGTAATGGAAAATTTTTGTTTAAGTGTTATTCTGGCATCTTTCACTTACAGTCTGGTCACTTGGGCAAATAGCAGTAATTCAGAGCTATTATAGAATAGAATAGAATAGAAACTTTATTAAAGTGTCAAAAACCGTCTAGCCAGGGAACAAATCCCTTACTAATTTGGGGACACCAATTAGGGGAGAATATACAAACTAAAAAAAACTATATACAGTAGTAGGTAAAATATCTATAGTTAACTCATTAAGAGATTTATAGTAAAAATACACAGAAGTCAAAATGAACAAAGGCTACAGCCTGCGCAGCCGTCATCTAAAAGTTCACTTATATTGAGTTGGCGTATCTTGCTTTTAAACGACGTTAGGGTTGTGACGTCCCTGATACTCTTGGGTAGTTTTGTCCATAGCCTAGGCCCTAAATATCTAATAGAGTGCTTGCCATAGGTGACTGTCTTATACCTAGGTATAGAGAAATCTGCTTGCCGCAGATTGTAATTACTATTTGGTTCTTTAAAGATGTTACTTATATATGCAGGGCACAGTTTATGCTTTACTTTATACATAAGGATGCACAGATCCTGTAAGCGACTATTTAGTAGTGTTGGCAGATCTGCCTTCTCTAATAGTTGTTCATAACTAGAATTATTATCCTTGAAAACCGCTCTAAGTCCTCTTTCTTGTAGTCTTTCAAGCTTTCGAGTGTCACTCGCTTTACAAAAATGCCACACTAGGTGACAGTACGTGAGGAATGGTAATATCGCGCTTTTGAATAATATTAACTTAGATTTCATAGGAATTAAATTACGTAGTCTCATTAGAACACCAATTCTCTGGCTGGCTTTTTTACAGATAGAGATTACATGCTCAGAGAAATTTAGCTTAGAATCTAACACTACTCCTAGAAGTATGATATTATCTTTAGTTTCAATCACAACATCATTCACGCAAATATTGCTTGGTACTTTTTGAGGTTTCCCGCCAATAAGTTAGAATCGTACCACGTTGTTGCTAAGTTGGCACTATCCTTTAACTGGGAAGTCACAGCTACCTGGTCTGCTCCTGCGTGGTAAATTTGATGGTCGTCGGCATACATAGACAAGTTCGCTGTTAGGCAGTAGGATAGGTCATTCTGGAAAACATTCCATAACAACGGGCCAAGCGCGGAACCCTGAGGACAGCCACGACTCACGAATCGGCTCGAACTAACATGACGGCCGATCTTTACTTGATATTTCCGTTCATTTAAATAGCTGTTTAAAAGTTGAATAGCGCTTTCCTGAAAACCGTACGCTTCAAGCTTGTTCAGAAGTAGTGGTGGGTGTAACGAGTCAAATGCCTTTGACATGTCAGTTGAAAGTATGCTCACAACCTGTTTTCGATCCCTCGCCAGTCTCCAATCTTCTACTAAATTGATCAATGTTGTTTCGCAGCTGTGAGCTTTGCGATAAGCGGATGAGTGTTGGTAAATGCGATTACCAAAGCCAGAGTTGATCTGCGCTCCGACCAACTTCTCAAGAACTTTACTAACACATGGTAAGAGAGTTATGGGCCGGTAGTTTTCCTTTGCATTCCTGTCATCCTTTTTGTATACTGGGGCCCAATGCCCATACTTCCATTCACTAGGCCATACATTCTTGTTAATACAAGAATTGAACAAGGTGGTTAGTGGAGCGGATAATTCATTAGCACCTGTTTTTAAAGCCTTTGAAGGAATTCCATCAGTGCCGGTGGCTTTGTTTATGTTCAGCGAATCGAGAACTGCAAGGACTTGTCCCTGTGTAACCAATTCGATTTCGATGGTCTGAGTGGAATTCCTATTTTCATGTTGTATCCTCTGAACACAAGGATGGTCTCTAAAGTCCTCTATTGACTTTCTTTCAATCGCTGTACCGCCAATGCCATCCGCCAAGGTAGCAAAATGCTCAACCAATTCCTCAGCCACTTGTTGTTGTTGTTGTTGCTATTCGGGACGCTGGAGAATCTACACAGTCGCAGCAAGGATTATTTATGATTTAGAGGAAACGTCGAACGAAGCTGAACGAAGAATCCCTAAAGATAGCCAAATAGAAGACTTTGGCATACATCTTCAAGGACAAACTCTTTAAGTTAATGAATAGTGCTTATAATGGCGTATTACCGAAACAACTATGTACTAGTAGAGGGTGTCGTGTTATGCATTAAGGGGGACAGATAATATTGTTGTACC